GGCCCCGTTCCAACCGGTTCGGTTGGAACGGGGCCGGCGGCGTCCTCGCGCACGCGTGCGGCACGCATGCGTACTAGCGTCTGTGCGACGCTCCAGCTGCTCCTGGAGGATCGCGCAGGAGCTGGATGCGTCCTGCGCATGCGTGGAAGCGCAGAACTCATCAAAATCGGGTAAGGAGTGCGCGCGGGCACGCGGGTGTGCGGGCGCACGGGTGGGCCCTTCGCCGTTCCCGGAAGTTACTTACTTCCGGGTTCGCCGACCAACCGGTTCGCAGGGACCGCCGCGAACCGGTTGAAACCCACCCCTGGACGGATTGCTCACAGTAGTTTGTTGCCGTGGATAGGAATTTTGCCAGAGTAAAGCACACACTCTGCGTGACTCTCACACGATGCCTGTGAAGCTCTAGGGAGGATCCCTTCCAGTCCCCTTCCTCCAAATCAAGGACCGGAGGCGGATCTGCCTTTGAGCTCCTTGGGGGAGCCTCTCCCTCCTGCACCTCGGCACCAGACACTGGGAGGAAGAGCCGAGCAGGCCCCAAGCACGGAATCCATCCCAGGTTCAAACTGGGATCTAAAGCCTCTGAATGGGACCACATCCAGCTGCCGGCTTTCCAGGAAGGCTGCGCATTATCCGGCTTGCAAAGCGGATTCCCCGTCAACTACAGCAGAGACGCTGCCATGCTCGGCCTAAGGCAGGTGGCAGTGAACTTCAAGCGATTCCCACCAGCAGGGCAGTGGGGGAAAGCGGGGAGCAAGGGCAACACAAATTCCAGGGCGTTATGACCACTGGTGTCAGCCCTGGGGGGCTCTCAGAGGCTCGGGGCTGCCATCCCGCTGGTGGGGAGATTCGCGAATGGGGTGTTTCGTGACTTGGACCACTGCTGTGCCGTGCTTGTTCCCCTGCCACGCCAAGAGCTTGAAGGACCTTCGGATCTCTCCCCGCTAGATCCTTGGCCGCGAGCGCTATGTCGGTGACGTCTCCCAGGCGTATGCGCAGGGACCCTGCAAGGCCTTTCATACGGAGCGGCACCAGCGCATGCATGGCGATGGAAACCAGCGTGGTCTGTCACGTCATTGGAGGACAGGAGGTGTATTGCGTGGGGGGGGGGAGGGGGGGCACCGGAGGGTTTTAAGTACGGAATTACAGGCTTGACTTTATTTCACTCGTATTTTTCAGAGTATAAGACGCACCTTTCTCCTTCAAAAGAGAGGCTGAAAATCTGGGTTTGTCTTATACACTGAATACAGCATTTTTGGCCTCCTGAACCCCCCCCCCCCCCAAAAACCCCCCCCCCCCCCACACCCCGACAACCCACCCCGGGCTCCCGCCCCGCCCACGCCCTGGGCCC